GAGTGTTTTAATGCTGATACTGTTAGCTTTCATCTTAATTTATTTCTCAAGATTTATAACAGATTCATGTGTAATAACTTTACATTGTCAGGGAGGATAATAATGTCATAAAAATGAAAACACTTTTACTTCAGACGAGAATCATGCCACAACAGAAACTAATGCCGCTGCTGTTTGAGCTTCAGTGTTTTTTACTTTAATTATTAATTTCTGTGATTAACATTTGTTTTTTAACATGTTAAACTTATGAAAGCTACTATATGTTCAGCATTTGCTCCTCTAGTTGTTAGATATAAACCTGCATGCATCTTCAATGATGCATGATCAATTTTGTTTCTCATTTGTTGGGAAAGTAAACTTTCAGCTTGACGTTACTCACAGCCAGAGTCACTGCATACATACACCTCTACAAGACACACACAGGTGAATTATGTGTGTATGCAATTGTTTATAGATTTATCAAAGTGTATTTGGGAAGAGATGGTTTGGAAAATTGAACTTTTTTTTTTTTACTATCTCTCATTAATATATTTGTTACTATTATCAGAAAAAGTTACATACTGTAGCTTTAAAAAGGTTAGTTCACCCAAAAATTAAAATTACCCCATGATTTACTCGCCCTCAAGCCATCCTAGGTGTATATGACTTTATTCTTTCAGATGAACACAATCAGAGTTATATTAAAAAATATCCTGGCTCTTCCAAGCTTTATAATGGCAGTGAATGGGGGTCAAGATGTTTAAAAATGATCCTGTCTCTTCCAAGCATTAGAATGGGAGTAGGCAGGTGTTTTTGTTCAACAGTCCAGAAGACGTGAAATAAAGTGTGTGCATCCATAATAAAACATGCCTCACACGGCAACAAAATGAAAAATATCCATATTTAAAACTTTATAAACTGTAATCTCTAGCTTCGGCTAACACGAGAGAGTAGCTTTCCAGCAGATGACGTAGGCGTAACGTAAGCTCCGACTGTATTTGTCTGAAAGAAGGAAGTCATATACACCATGGCTTGAGGGTGAGCAAATCATGGGGTAATTTTCATTTTTGGGTGAGCTATCCCTTTAATGCAATTGATGCTGCATGTGTTTCTTACACACTAGTGTCACACGTTCATGCTATTTTCACGTCGCTCAACGCGGCTACATGAAACAACATAGGAAGTGGGAAAAAATACTTTATCTGACACTGAAGATGATGTGATGTCAAAAATATTTTGTCTTTGCACTAAACACTTTTGTCATTTTTATGGTATCTGAATGAATGTTTTTAAAGATCTTTAAAAAAAAGAAATGAAGAGGAAGGAAAAAAGAAAAAAAAGTGTGATTTTTTGATTTTGATTCATACAATTATTTTTCATGAATCTGGCAGCACAAATGACACTGTAGTTGTGACTCACCATAGACAGTAACTCTGAATCTGTATATGGTTAGTTTTGTGCCTTTAATGTTTTCTGTATAAAGTCCAGAGTCTGTGGTTCTGGTGTTTGTGATGGTCAGAGATCCAGTCTGATGATCCAGCTTCAGTCTGTCTCTGAATCCCACAGCATCACCATCAGATGTAGAGAAGATTCCACTCTCTTTACTCATTAGAGCTATACGAGTCTCTGGATGTCCAAAATGCCATGTTATCACATCACGTGTCTGTATTTCAGTAACACCAGATTCTAGAGAGACTGAATCTCCCTCCGTCACTGACACTGACTTCACTGCATCTGCATCAGCAAACACAGCTGAAGAACATAAAGAAAAAAGATTTTTACATTGCTTAATAAAGACAGTTTAAAATGTAAAACATCTGAACACATCATACACAGAAAACACTTTTACTGCAGATGAGAATCAGGTCACACTGAAACTAAAGCTGCTGCTGTTTGAGCTTCAGTGATTTATATAAAGAACATTTAGAAGAAAAAACAAACAAACACTGAATCTGTAGGAACTGAAGCCATAAAAACTCACCAACCAGACGCCACAAACACAAACAGAAGCAAAATCTGTCAAACATCTTTTCAGTCAAACAACGGTTTCAGTCCACAAATATGAAAAGACAAACTCTTCAGAACTGGTTCAGTAATAAAATGACAGATGAGCTGATGTGAGTCTGCTGTGTAGTAAAGTCATGAGAAACTCAACCGTCAGCTAAAATAACCGGACATCTTTAAGTGTTAATGTGTGTGGGAACATCCAGCTCTTTTTTGGTCATTTCACAACATGTTAACTTTGCCGCTTTAAGCTCCAGTAGACCACAGCTTCCTCTTCTGTTCAGTGTTGTCGTTTTCAACAGAAATAAACTGAGCCATAACATGATCAGAGACTAGAGAAGTTAAGAGTGTCTTAAAGCAGCGTTTGATCTGCTCATGAGATCCTGAGAGTGTTTGGCTCTGCTCTCTCCTGTCACTGTCTTCAGCTCGTTTTTTTCTTCATTTCTTATCAAATGTCTTCATTGTTTCTCCTCTCAGACTGATTCCAGAGTTTCTCTGATGGCTTTATGGAGCAGGAACAGATCACCTGCTAGAACTGTGTGTATAAAACTGTTCTTCAATATACAAATATGATTTTATAAGGTCATAATGAGATCTCTGGTGTTTGATTGTAGACTTTGCTTGGAAAATCTTAGTAAAATAACCTTAAAAACCCTGTCTCTAATAAGACAAAACATCTGAGCGCCTCCTGGTGGATGAACAGTCCAAAGAAACGGATTCATTGATGATAATATTCATTCATTCAGACCAGTCACACTGTTCAGGGCAAACAAACTTATTAAGCCTTTGATTTTGATTTTTCATTTTAATTATAATCTTATATAATTCATACTGTTTATGTATAAATGTATAGCATTTTTGTATTTTGTAAAAAAAAAAGAAAAAAAAAGATGACTCTATTAAGCAAAATCAGGCACAATAAATGAGAACAGTAATAATGTTTCTAAAGTCCCCATGAAATCAAAATGGAAGTTTTTTGGCTTTTATTATGAATATGTTAGCCTTAAGGTTATATAAGCTAAATGACATATGGTTTTCAGATTGCAATAGATCTGCAGTGGTCACTATATCAAAAGGAAATTCCAGGGGTCAGGTCCTAAGCCATGAAACAGATAGGTTGGGAAGAATGATAATATTGCATGTCAATATTAATCATACTCATTATACTCTTGTGAATTCATATGCCATCAATAATAGACAACCTAATTATACATTTTTCAAAAATATTGAAACTAAATTGAAACAAATTAAAAATAAATGTACATTGGCAAAATATTATCGATCTAAATCCTCAATGAGGATTATTTTAAAGAAGATAATACACATTTTTAAATGTATTTTACATTTATTATTACTTTCTAAAAAATGCAATGTTATGATTCCATAAAGAAAAAATAGGCAGTGCATTAATAAAAATAGTAAACAGAGTAAACAAATCACAATTGAATAGTACATTTTAAAAAAGTATTGAGCTTAACAATAATGTAATGATGTAAAGCTCTATATGGTGCGCTTTACTGAAAATTATAATAAAATACATAAAGTTAGTAGGCATAATGTAATAAAGCATGGGAAAAACTTTATTCATGAGGGCAGGCAGACACATAAATAATTAAAGCGTTCTTTGATAATCTAGAGTATTTATCATTCAGGATAACGATAAACTCATTAGAGGAAGGTCATAAATGACAAAAACCACATTATATTTGAAACAGTAAGTGTAAAGGCAGATGCAGTTGTTGTGCTCAGAACAGAGTTTGATCATCGCTCTGAGCTGAAACACATGTTCGTCACCACCGTCATCTCAGATTCCTGTCAGACAAACACAGACACAAAGAGTCAAAGCCTGAGAAATGACAATCTGCTGCAAATTCATCCCGAGAACTGATGATGCATTGGACCTGAACATCATTCAGAAACAATGAGCCCATCAAGTATTACGGGATATAAATCAGTGAGTATTATGGGATATAAATCTGTTGTTGTACCGGCTAAAAAGAGACATTAGAGTGAACGTGTTCGTCTGATCTACAGCAAAAGATCAGCTCAATAAACAAACTGAACAAGATGACACTGTCAGAGAGGAGAAAGTCGTACAAAAATGACCAAATAAAAAACTAATTAAAAACAATAATGTGAAAAGAAAATGATCCTGAGTAAGTGGTTTGCTTAATAAATACTTATTAAATAACTACTTGTGTAAATATACTTAAGGAAACTATTATTATAATTGTGTAATTGTGACTCACCAGAGACAGTAACATTGAATCTCTGGTTAATGGTGTGTTTGCTGCTGCTGATCTTAACTTCATAAAGTCCAGAGTCTGTGGTTCTGGTGTTTGTGATGGTCAGAGATCCAGTCTGATGATCCAGCTTCAGTCTGGTTTTGAAACTCTCATCGATAGCATCATATATAGAGATCATACTGTGCGATCTGCTGAGTTTAGCTATGAGCAAGTTGTTCGGTTTAAACGTTATGGTCCACAAGATCCGACCAGCTCTCTGTGTTTCATTAAGACCAGAGTTTAGAGTGACCGAATCTCCCTCCATCACTGACACTGACCTCACTTCATCCGAATCACCAAACACACCTGAAGAACAAATAGAACAAAATGAAAACTGGTACATCACTCAAGTAAACAGTCTTTGGCTGTTTGATACGCGTTCCAAATCACTGGTTCCAAACAAAGGTTACAAAGCTTGTTTCTAAAAAGCGCCCTTAAAATGGCGAACCTGGGCGAACAAACACGATCAGACAGAACAATGCTGTCTACCCCCCATCTAGAGGCCTCTTCATGCCTGCTTAAAAACTCTCCAAATAACTAAACCACAACTCGATAGGTCAGCACATATGAATCAAGAGAGTGCAAGTCTGCGCTGTGATACAAGAGACATAATAAAAGTCAAGGCAAAATCGTGTTGCTATGGACAGCGGTGTTTATGAGACAATATTTGAATGCCGCTATTAACCAATCAGGATCACGTATTCCAGAAAGCCACATAATGAACTGCCGTACCTGCACATGTGTGACAGAGTTGAGTGATGTCCAGATGTTGAGTCTGGTTGCTGATGGGATTGTTGAGCACACAGCTGTAGGTGTTTTTATCCTGATATTCCACCTCCAGAGGTAGAGAGAGACTGATGCTGAGATCAGACACACTGATGCTGGACAATAAACTGTTTCCTTTGTACCAGGAGAGAGTCACATGACTCACATTCACCACTGAACACAGCAATGAACAATTCTGCTGTGATGATGATGATGATGAAGAACAGTTTGAAGAGTCACTGCTGATGACAGGAACAGGCAGACGAGCTGAAAACACGAGAGAATAAATTAAGAGCAAGTAACAGTAATTAAGAGGATGTTTTGAATGTTTTTATTGAGAATCAGTGTGTTTTAATGCTGATACTGTTAGCCTTCATTTCTCAAGATTTATAATAGATTCATATTTAAAAAGATTACACTGTCAGAGAGGAAAATGTCATTCAAAATGAAAGACTAATTAAAAACATAAGGAGAAAGACTGTGCATGGGATCTTAAATGGTTTGTTTTATAAATGTTTATGAAATAATTATTTGTGTAAATACACCTAAAGAAAATTATCAGTATGAAGCTGGCAGCACAAACGACACTGTAACTGTTACTTACCATAGACAGTAACATTAAATCTGTATCTGATCTCTCTGCTTCCGCTGAGGATGTTTACTGTACAAACTCCAGAGTCTGTGGTTCTGGTGTCTGTGATGGTCAGAGATCCAGTCTGATGATCCAGCTTCAGTCTGTCTCTGAATCTCCCATCAGTGTGTTTTAATGCTGATACTGTTAGCCTTCATTTCTCAAGATTTATAATAGATTCATATTTAAAAAGATTACACTGTCAGAGAGGAAAATGTCATTCAAAATGAAAGACTAATTAAAAACATAAGGAGAAAGACTGTGCATGGGATCTTAAATGGTTTGTTTTATAAATGTTTATGAAATAATTATTTGTGTAAATACACCTAAAGAAAATTATCAGTATGAAGCTGGCAGCACAAACGACACTGTAACTGTTACTTACCATAGACAGTAACATTAAATCTGTATCTGATCTCTCTGCTTCCGCTGAGGATGTTTACTGTACAAACTCCAGAGTCTGTGGTTCTGGTGTCTGTGATGGTCAGAGATCCAGTCTGATGATCCAGCTTCAGTCTGTCTCTGAATCTCCCATCATCACCATCATACAAAAGGATCATACTGGACTTCATACTGAGTTCAGCTATGAGTAAGTTGGTATGTCCAAACCTCCACTCGATCTCATCATCTGTCTGTATTTCAGTAAGACCAGAGTTTAGAGTGACTGAATCTCCCTCCATCACTGACACTGACCTCACTTCATCTGAATCACCAAACACACCTGAAGAACAAACACAAGAGTCTTCTGTTTAAATGATAGATCTTTTAATAACTGTATGATGGATTACTAATATAAACTGTATGAAAATTACATTTGAAATCAATTTCCAAACTACAAAAACGATTAATAATTGCATCTTTGTGGTGATTCTGAATGAAACCCATTTTCTGATGAAGTTGATTTGAGCTCCACACAACATCATACACAGAAAACACTTTTACTGCAGATGAGAATCACATCACACTGAAACTAAAGCTGCTGCTGTTTGAGCTTCAGTGTTTTTTATAGAGCCACCATTTAGTGAATCTTTCACAGAAAGACCTGAAGCCATAAAAACACATTTAAAACTCACCAACCAGACGCCACAAACACAAACAGAACAAAATTAAGTTGATTGCCATTTTCCTCATCGATTCTCGAAAGCAACAATTAAAATGTCTGAAACACGACTGGATGGTGATATTTATCTGGTTGTGTGTGAATCCTCCCCTAACCGCCATCACAGTTTACTCTCAGACGTCCATCCTCTTTTACATCACGAAAATCAACAAGCTTTTGCTGATCTTACATCTTCAAACTTAAAACCAGGAACAGGCAAAATTCAGGCGATCAGCAAACAGGTTGTCTGAAGCAGTTTAAGTCAAAACCAGTGGAAATTCAGCAGAAATAAACAGGCTTGGTAATGTGTCTCTGTCCACACTAGTGTTTTCAAGTGTTTTCCAAAAGTCTGAAAATACTTAAATCATCTTATGTGCATGTGTAAAACATAATAAAAGCTTGCGGAGACTATCTGTAACCCAGGTCACACTCATGTATTTTCCAATACGCAAATCATGTTTTGCTATAGGACTCATGCCTTGTTTTTTGCAAGCTACTGGTGGTGGTTTCTTTCTCATTTGCATTTCTAGCTGGCTTTAGTATCTTCTAAATAACATTTAATATGCATATCTTTAATGTAACATCTATCACAGCATTTCTTCTTCACAATCTCTATGTGTTTCTGTATTTTTGAATGATGACAGGCAGACGAGCTGGAAAACATGAGAGAATGGAGGATGAATAGAGATATTCAAGCAGATCAAAATTGGTCAAAAGTAGAGCATGTGAAGGAAATTTTTAATTGATCACACACTAACATTCCTTTTCCTTGCATTACATTTATATGTTTTTGAAAACTAAATGTCCCCAACACTTGGGCCAAAGTTAGTGTGTTGAAATAACTAAAGAGGAAACAGTACTAGACAGCTGTCTAGGTTTGTATATAGATTTAACCTCATGACTTGAGTAGCAAGCTAATGTATCTTTTACCTAGTAACAGAAGAAAGTTTGCTGAATTTAACATATGAAGAACCAATCATATTGGAGAACAATAATGTAATGGATCATGTCACCTTTGCCATACATTAAAATCAAGAATATGTGATTTGTTCATTCTCTTTAACCTTTATTTAATGAACAAAAGTACAAAGAAAAGATTTCCAATGTTTTGCGAATCTAAATTATGTTTTGCAAATTTAAATGTAATCATTTAGCAGACACGTTTATCCAAAGCAACTTACAAAAAAGGACAATAGAAGCAATCAAACCAACAAAAGGGCAACAATGTGCAAGTCTAATCTAGCACAATATACATAGGAAGCTTTTTTTTTTAAATAGACATATAGAATAGAAAATGTTAGTAATAAAGGGTCTATTGTTGAAGATGCACCTTCAGCCATTTCTTGAAGATGGCTAAAGACTAAGCAGCTTAGACGGAGTTAGGCAGGTCATTCCACCAGCAAGGAACAGACAAGGTAAAGGTCTGTGAAAGGGATTTTGTGCCTCTGTGGGATGGTACTACAAGGCGCTATTCACTCACATAACACAAGCTTCTGGAGGGCACGTCTGAAGCCAATGTTTCTTGTAAGCAAACATTTGTCTTGAATTTGATGCGAGTGGCTACTGGCAGCCAGTGCAAGTTTATGAAGAGAGGTGTGATGTGTGCTCTGTTTGGCTTGTTGAAGACCACTCTCGCTGCTGCGTTCTGGATCAGTTGCAAAGACTTGACAGAACATGCTGGAAGGCCTAACTAGAGGGCATTAATAGTCCAGTCTTGAGAGAACAGGAGCTTGGATGAGGAGTTGTGTTGCCTGTTCCAATAGGACGGACCTGATCTTCCTAATGTTGTATTAGGAAAATCTGCAGGACTGGGCAGTTCTAGCAATGTAGTCTGTGAAGTTTAACTGACCATTGATCACAACTCCAAGGTTCCTGGCTGTCTTGGAAAGAGTTATGGTTGACGAACCTTGCTGAATGGAGAAGTTGTGATGAAGTGCTGGGATACCATATTTGGCCACACGTCACGTCACTTTCACAAGCAGATCTGTCTTTGCAAGATTGAGTTGAAGGTGATGGTCTTTCCTCCATTCAGTAGGCTGAGATGCGAGCAGCTACTGTCAGATCATCTAGCTGGAATGAGAGGTAGAGTTTGTCATCAGCATAGCAGTGATAGGAAAAACCATGATGGATCCTAGTGATGACATGTAGATTGAGACGAGAAGTGGTCCAAGCACTGAGCCCTGAGGAACCCCAGTAGCTAGATGTTGCGACACCTCACCCCTCCAAGACACCCTGAAGGTCCTACCTGAGAGGTAAGACTTGAACCATTGGAGTGCATGACTTTTTCAAAAGCAGCAGACAGATCCAGCAAGATGAGCATTGAAGATTTGGAAGCTGAAATTGCCAGTCTCATGGCTTCAATAACCGAAAGCAGGACAGTTTCAATTATGTGGCCAGTTTTGAAACCAGATTGGTTGTTGTCTGGGAGGTTGTTCTGTGAGAGAAAGATAGAGACTTGGATGAACACGACTTGTTTAAGCATCATCTTAGCAGAGAATGGAAGGCCTCCATCATCATCATCATCATCAGGATCTCATACCAATCCCATCAGCAACCAGACCAGACATCTCAACATCACTCAACTCTGTCACACATGCTCAGGAGAGCACTGCATATATTAGCATTTATTTACAGTTTTTATGTTTTTATTCCTCAGATTCTGTCCACTGTTGTGGTTCTACTGATGCTGTGATCCGATTGGTCCTCTCTGCTATGGTGGGCGTGGCTACTGTCATTCTTCTGGTTAATGACATCAGATCTGAACAAGATCAAACACATATTCACACATCAGGTACATGATTGATGGTGTAATTTTTGCCTTGATATGTTCATCTTTTTCAGAATGTATTGAAATCTATAGCAGAACACTGAAGTTTAAAGGTTCTACAAGTGTGTCTTTTGTTCTTTTAGTGTTTTTTTCATAATTAATACTGATGATTATGTCAGCTTGCACTCTCTATTTCAGATTTTTAAATGTATTTATTTGTAAGGTATCATTGTGTAGATTTCTCTCAGACACACAGTTCTCACTTCACTTACTACTGCTGTCCATTTGCCATATGTATTTGCTTGCCTTTATCCATAAAGTTGTCTCACTCTTAAGAGTCTCTCTATGTTTAATTTTCACTGATACTTCAGCTTGCTACTCAAGTCATAAGGATAAATATATACACAAACCTAGACAGCTGTCTAGTTCTGTTTCCTTATTTGTTATTACAAGACACTAGCTTTGGCCCAAGTGTTGGGGACATTCAGTGTTCAAAACCACAAAAATATAATTCAAGGAAAAGGAATGTTAGTAATAATTAAAAAATCCCTTCACATGCTCTACTTTTGATCAGTCGTGGTTCCTCTCAATGTCTCTTCCTTGTCTGCTTAAATATCTTCATTCATCCTCATTTATCTCTATTCTCTCATGTTTTCCAGCTCGTCTGCCTGTCATCAGGAAAATACAGAAAAATGTAGAGATCGTAAAGTTGCTTAAGACATGCTGTGATAGACAATGTTATATTAAAGATAGGCATATTGAATAATATT